ATGGCCCAAATTGGGAGATTTGAGGAGATATTTTCTGGGGGATTATAAGAGAAAACAGATGACAAAAAATATGTGGTGTCTGCAACTTGTAAGAGAATCCCTGGCTCCAAGAGAGAAGTTATTATAAATGGAGGTAGAAGACCTGAGAGAAATATGGAAAAATTAAGTCTCAGTGGTCATGCTGTGAACCTCCCTAGATGAAGGCTGTTTGGTTTGGAGATTCTGTCATGATGCAACTAGAAGCATCCTAACAGAGGGAGAGGCTCAGAGAAATCCAGAGTGCATTGACAAACTTTGAATAACTTTTCCTTTTTATTAACCTCAACTCAGTTTTTTCCCACCTCCTCCTCTGAACATTCTTTCCTTGTTTTATTCATAAGTATTTCCTGAGCAAGTTGTGCTTTCCATGTTGTCATAAATTTTCTTCAACCTATTTCCTCTACTTGAGGGGGCCCCCTATTGTCTTTATTACTCAGTAAAATTAATCTTTTCTCAATCCTTGTCTTCCTTCTAGGTTTCACTGTTGCATCATCAATTGTATATAAAATCTTAGTAACATACCTATTGTAACACTAATGTAAACCTTTCGCATATTACATTATTTACGTATCTGCCTTTAGTGGATTTTTTGAGACTATAACTTTGTTTATGGTCTCTAAACTCAACTGAGCCTCTATGTAGTAATTTAGGAATAAATGAATTGCTCCAGCTCTTAATCCTAAAAAAGTGAAATGTCATGTTTACCACAGGTAGCTTCATATTTAGAAAATAATTTTTACTTTTGACTGTCGTGTTTGAAAACTCTTGACTTATTCCCCATTTATAAATCAATTTTTGATCTTTTTACAAGGCGTGACACTTTTTTCAGTGACATGTTATAGGATAAACACACTTAAAAAGCAAAAAGGAGAGACACTTCCCAAAGAAATTTAATGTAAGAAAAAGTGCAAGTATTTTGTGTACATGCATGAGCATCTCAAGATTTTAACTGCTTTTTAATTCAGGAAGTTTTAATGTATAAACATTTTACAAATCTGATCTCAAAAAGCAATGATTTGAATAATCTGAGCTTTAATGCAAAAACAAAACATGAAGTTGTTCAGTTTCTCATACAACATATTTATTAAACATTTCAGTGTCAATAATTTCTTAAGATTGTAACATTTAACCTTGTAATGGAGCTAATACCAATTCTATTCATGGGAGTGTATTTTGGACTCTTGAACAACTTTAAATGAAATGAATGCCACTGTCTTTTCAGGTTGTGTTTGGAGCAAAGACAAAGAAGCATCAACTCATTCTTTCCAACTAATAAAACATCTAATGATGCAATTTCATGACATTATTGTATGCTGTTATCACAATGTTAAATGTATTTTTGCTTCTGTATGTTCCTGAAATTCAATATATCATCTCCGAACATTACCAATTTTCACTTACTTTAGATTTTAAATATTTAACTTGGGATTCAGGAAAAATCCTGAAAAATAAAGGTCAGTATGTAGCATCTTTTCCCAGCTCTCAACCACAGATTTTCAATTTGCTGTGACTTATCATGGAGTTTGTTTCAGGAAGTATAGGTTTTTAAGGTAGCTTTTTAGAAATAAAAAAATAGTTGCCTCTGCATCAAAGAGGGGACTCAGAAGCGCTGAAGTTCAGAAGGAGCATGTGCTTTGATTATTGTTCCCACCTGGTTCTTCTTTTATTATAAAGTGGCAATTTCTACTATCATTAGAAATATACATTTATATATAAAGTTTTACATTCAAGTCTCTTTATTTTTGATTACCTATGACTAAATACCACAAATCAAATAAAAACTCTATATAATATATCCTTATTTCAGAAGCATATGTATATATACACATATATATTTGTAGAACAATCCACCATTTTAAATGTTATTCTGATTTTTAAAAAATGCTATTTACAATTTATGACAGAGAAATAATCCCAGACTGTTATGATAGTAAAATGAGTGGGGCATTTTTCTGTTTGAATGTGTTTCACCTTGTGCAGATGAAATGAAGCAACTTCATGAAAACCCTTCGCAGAGCAAGGCCTTGTAGATTAAGTCATGAAAGTGGAATGGCAGACTTGCTATTTCTGGGTCTGTGTTTTAAAAAATTATTGTTGATAGTCATGCTTCTTCACCAAGAAATCAGTGGTCCTAAGTTAGGACCTTCAAAATTTCAATACACATTAAGCCATCTTTGATCTTTCAATTTTGTCTTAATGCTCTCATCTCTTGCTAGTGCAACCACAGGACCACCAATCTAGATATAATACCTATCTGCAGCATTGCTGTTTTCTTAAATAGAAGAATTTGTCTAAAAAGCTATCTGGATTGCAGGGAGGTCCATCAAGCATCACAATGTACATCAAATTGACATCCTTTATTGGGCCAGTTCATCGTGGCTAAAAATGTGCTATAAAATTCATATGTAAAATTCAAAACCTAAACTGTTACTGTGATCAAGAACAGGTTTGCTTGCTGTTCTCCAGTTTCCTGAGCAACAGATGTCTCTGAATTAGCAAATGGAGCTTCGGCACCATTTTGTTTCTGTACCTCAAGCTTCTAGCTTAAAAACCAAGTTAGGTATATTGACCAGAAAACTATTTTGTGAGAGTCTCAAAAGTTTTGTTCTCATTCTTAAGGCCAGTGATTTTGAAACATGTTACAATAAGGACTCTTAGATAAACATGTCTTAACTTACATGTGCATAGCCAATCACAAAGCTTTGCTAGAAGTCCTATTTCTCCTGAGAACACCTCAATGAATTAATTTCCTATAAAAGCTTACTTCACTTATAGGAGAATAAATGATGGATGAATTGAGACCCAGAAATTGGAATAATAAATATCAAAGTAAATAATTATTTTACTTGGAATAAGCCTGAAAAATGAACTATTAAACTGACTCATATTTCTGGAGCTAATTTGCCAATTTTTTAAAAACCTAGACTGTGAATACTGACATTTTCTATTACAGGTTTCATGTGCTTACAGAGTAAGCATCAGTTAAGCAAATGTTCACCTCTGCTCTAAACCAGAATTTTTGTCAGGTTAATGTGTAAAAGTAATACAAGATTTCCAATGTATTCTCTGAAATTAATTGTGGCTAAGACCAAGTGAATATCCAAAACATTTCAGTGTGTTGAACATTTGCTTAACTGATTTAGAGAAAAAAATACACAAATTGGGTAGTTAGAACCCTGCTTCTTAACTGCTGTCAGGAAGGAAACAAATGTGACTCTAGATGACAAACGAACAGCCACTGAAAATAGAGGGAAGACTTTTGTTGGAGATTCATATCTCTATCATATTTTCCATACTATTTAACTGGGTTAAACATATTCTGTCATGAAGCCATCGCTGTAATGGATAACACTCCGTAACAAACTGCCGATTGTGTTGCTGGTGAGTTTGTGGTGAGTGTACACATGCGTGTGTATGTATCCCCACAAAAGCTCACGTCATCATACTAAGGGAGCCTGTGACCCATTTTGTAGAAGCCTCTTTTTATTTCTTCAAAGAAAATAAGGCTTTGTGCTTGGGATTTGTTTGGTCCTGAAAGTGATAGGGACGTTTATAATCCAGTTGAATCAAGAATGACAAGGTGAAATACAACCAGATTTTTTTTTTTTTTTTACAAAGGCATTCTTTTCCTAGAAGAGCAACATTCTTTTTTTTTTTTTTTTAATTTAAATGCCTTTATTTGTTACTTTCCAAATATTTTGGTTAAAAAATATTTCTTGCAAATTTGTGTTCAAAATCCGTGCCTAAATACATAGCTTTCCTTCTTTGCAATTGATTAGGTAAATTCTCATTTTGTTTCCTGCTAATCAGTTAACATAAATAGAATACTTAGTGAAGTACACAAACCACTATTAGAGAATAATGATTGTGTAGAGTGAGAGAAACTACAGTGATCTTGTAAGAATACAGCAACAATGGCAAGATCATTGAAGTGACGACCTAGAGCTTCTGCAAAGTGTACATATTTTAGGGAGTCATATTTGGAACAATACATGCTGGACAGTAGAGTTATAGGAGAAGTAACATGCTAAGTCTCCTCATTGATAACATCCATAAATCTGCATACATTTTTTAACATTCTGTATTGTTGTTTTAATTTGGATGTCTCTACACCATTCTTGATTTGTAGGACTAAGTAGATCTATTTCCAAGGCAATTGAATAATGTTCATATCTTCCCTAATATTTTTCTAATACTTCAGTATTCCTAACTATGCATTTGCCTAGTCTTACACTGAGTTTTTTTTCTATGTTAAGCCACTCTCACAATCCTGTTTGTTGAAACCATAGCTATTAACTCCATATTGTTTCTCCATACCTGTGAAAAATTCAGTCTATTACAAGTACCCTTCTGTGTTCTAGGAGACATACTTATTGTCACTGAGTCTTACAAACAAAGGATATATAGCAACAAACAAGCCACCTGCTTCACAAGACAGTACATTAGGAATTTCACAGCCCTGCCTCCCAACATCATGACAGGGTTTGGAAGATGCTGTATACATAAAACTCTGGTAAGTTACAAAGGCAGACACAATTTGCTTTGACCAATTTTCTAGGATATATTTTCTTAGGTACACCCCTCTTCCTTCTTTCCTGCTGCAAAAGATGGTAAAAAACTCTAAGACAACTAGACATGCACTTATACTCTCAAAGGTGTCCACATAGTTAAAAATCAGACCAAACAGTAAGAACACATAAAGTGTACATCACTGCCAAGGCATGGTAATAACAAAAAAATCCCAAAAGTTACTTCAGCCTTAGAAAAAATTTTTTATCTAATTTACTAAAAAAAAAAAAGAAAAAAAAAAAAAGAGAGAGAGAGAGAGAGAGATCCTAGGTTAATACCCTTCATAAAATATCACATTCTCTTAGGAGAATCTGAAACTTCTTTTATGAAGGAATTATATCTGCTAATACCATTAGATTTGACTTGATGTTTAATGATTCCTGGTTATGTATTTTAGAGGCATCTGAAAAATCTATAAATAAATGTTCAATATCATGGTTTTAAAAAAATCCTGAAAACAGGATGTAATTATGTGTTCATTTCAGATGCCCAAAGAAAATACAAAATCAAAACAAAGCACTCATCACAGCATTATCCAGGGCTTAAGCTATTTAGGATATTACATCAATTTGTAAGTTCAATTCTCCAAAACCCTTTTCTTTAAGGTAATAACTTTATTTCATCTTTATTACAATTATGTCTTCATCACAATTAGACCTCTATTAACAATTGCACAATTTACTTTAATGTTTGTGGAGTTTGATCTATTTTACCTTTGCTTATTTGTGTACTAATGTTTGTGCAGGTGCATTTTCTACCACATTGCAACAGGAAAGCTTTGGTTCAATTTTCCTGGCCTACACAAAGGAATATTTGGGGAGGCATTAGGTCCTGCATCGCCATTTTATTTTTCTCTCCTTGGGTGAATTTATTGGAAGGAAATGGGTAAAGGGGGGGGGGGGGGAAGGGGGAGGGATGAAAGAGGGGCAAAGGGAAGAGATCTCAGCTATGTTGAATCTTGATTCACAACTTTGCCTCCATTCATGGTTGGTGTTCCAGAACTTTTCCTTGAACGCCCTTGTTTTTCTCCAATTTCATGTAGTGATGGCTCTCTGTACATACACACTGGAAAGCAAAACGGCAATAATTACTTATTAGAATTGTAGACATCAATTTGGTCTCAATAAACATGTCAAATTAGATTTTATAACATTCTTAATTCTTATCACGAGCTCTTCTCCCCACAGCAAAAACAAGATTTAACCTGATAATATATTTAATGGATACACATGACCCTCTTCCAGCTCTGAGAGTACACTGCATAAGTCTTCTTGAACTGCAGATATATGAGTGGTTTCTGTTCTCTTCTAGATAAGGCTTCCGTCTTTACTGTCTACTACCCTATATAACAGGATTTTCACCTAGAGTTAGAGGAGATATTAAGGGTATAACATTTAAAGGATAGAAAAAGATACTTTGTTTTTCAGTCCATACTCTGCAACTCAGTTTGGGTGGAAAAAAATCCTTATATACACCCTTCTAGTCTAACCCCACTGTAAGTGACATTGTTGTGGTAAATTGAAATATTTATTGTCATTTTCAGAATATCCTACATAAGAAATGATAACAGGAGAGAAACCATAAAAAAGTTTAAAAAAATCTCCCAATTTTTCAATTACTCTAGATTTCCTTCACCTAAGGTAATGAACACAGTCCATGGCTTCTTAGCTAATTCAGCAACAGGAAAAGTGATTATGCAACCGTGTGACTTCAGTTCACACCTATATAAATAGTTCATTTTCTCCTCCATTGTTTTGTCTGGCTCTGAAGCTCAGTTATTTGTAAATTATCATGGCTGGTGCTAGATTACTGCAGAGAAAGAATACTGGTTTTCAAGTCACAGTTATTCTCATAAAATACGAGCTAGCAGCATATTGAGTACATTAGAAAAGATTCATTATACTGTTGTGAGATAGACATGTGGCAGTAGAAAAGCATATGAAACATTTCTCTTAAATATCTGGGATTATTTTTATCCTTGACTTAGAAACAAACAGGTAAGTCCCTCCACGTATTGAACCATCACTACGATGCCTTGTTAATCTGAGTGTCATTTCTAAGCAGATAGCTTTTTCCCTTCACAGGTACTCGAGATCTGAGAATGGCTGTGATTGAATAGATGTCATGTGGCGGATAAGACACCAATTCGGGAGCCACGCTGCCTGGGTTCACATGATTACTCAGCCACTTCCTATCTCTGTAAACTTAGACACAATTTCATTTTGAAAAATAGCATTTCTATGAGGATGAAATGCCTAGCACATTGTAAGCATACAAAGATGTTTAAGAAAATGAAGGAGCTGATCTTTTCATGAGAATTTTGAATAACACGTTTTAGAGAACACAGCAGTAACTTGTTTTGGTTAAAAGTATTCTAAATCCAATATTAGATTAAGAGAATTAAGATACAATAATATTCTCCTCAGGCTCATTTCATGATGAGGAGACAGGTTTCTTCAAATGCACTGGGTAGTAGAGTTTCTAATTGTTAATGTGCATCTGAATCACCAAGGCACACTGTTAAAAGTGCAGATTCTGATTCAAAAGGTCTGTAGTGGGCTTGAGAGTCTGCATTTTTAATAAGCTCCCAGGTAATGTTAAAGCTGGTAAAATCCATACCACACTTTTGGTAGTACACACTATATATACAAAATATGTTTGTTAAGCACACCATGCAAAATTATTATGTATGTTATTGGGGTGACATTCATTAAGAAGATGTATATAATTTTCAAATGTACAATTCTATATCACTTGCATATTCCATTGAGTGCTCATCACGCAAAGTCTAGTGTCCTTCTCTTACCATGTATTTGATCCCCTTTCACCACTTCAACTTCTTCCCACCCCCATTCCCATCTGGTAACCACTATATTGTTGTCTGTGTCTATGAGTTTTTTGCTTGTTCATGTGTTGCCTTCTGTTTTACATCCCACATGTCAGTGAAGTCAGTGAAGTGAAGTGGTTCCTGTCCTTTTTCCATTTGGCTTATTTCGCTTAGCATAATACTATCAAAATCTACCTACATTATCACAGATGGCTGTATTTCATCTTTGTTATAGCTGAGTACTATTCCATTTTATATGTGAACCACATCTTCTTTACTCTGTCATCCAAGGCACTTAAGTTGTCTACATGTCTTAACTACCATGAATAATGCTGCAATGAACATAGGGGTACATATATCTTTATAATAAATATTTTCAAATTTTCTGGATAGATACCCAGAAAAAGGATTGCTGGGTCATGTGGTAACTCTGTTATTAATTTTTTAAGGAACTCCATACTCTTTTCAATAGTGGCTGCCAGTTTACATCCCTACCAGCAGAATACAAGGGTTCCTCTTTCTCTGCATCCTCCCCAACACTTGTAATTTCTTGATGCACTGATAATAGCGATTCTAACAACCTAAGTGAGGTGGCATCTCACTGTGGTTTTGATTTACGTTTTCCCTATAGCTAGTAAAGTTAAGAATCCTTTCATATATCTAGCAGCCATCTGTATGTCTTCTTGGGAAAAGTGTCTGTTCAGGTCCTCTGACCATTTTTTAATTAGATTGTTCTTTTGTTCTGTTGTTGTTATGGAGTTGTATTAATTTTTAATATATTTTGGATATTAGCCCCTTATCAGAGATATTGTTTGAAAATATCTTCTTCAATTTGGTTGGTTGCCTTTTTGTTTTGTTATGGTTTCTTTTGCTGTGCAGAAAGTTTTTTATTTGATGTAGTCCATTCATTTATTTTTGCTTCTATTTCCCTTGAATTTGGGGTCAAATTCATAAAATCCTCTGTGTGAACAAAGTCCATACATTTAGTACCTGTGGTTTTTTGTCTTTAATGTATTTTACTGTTTCAGGTCATATAATTAAGACTTGAGCCATTTTGTGTATGATGTCAGATAACAGTCTGGTTTCATTCTTTTGCATGTGGCTTTCCATTTTTCCTAGGCACCATTTATTGAAGAGGTTTTCCTTTCTCCATTGAACATTTCTGGTTCTTTTGTCAAAAAATTAGTTGCCCATACAAATGTGGGTTTCTTTCTGGGCCCTCAATTTTGTATCACTGGTCTGTGTGTCTGTTTTTTCAAAACCATACTATTTTAATTATTGTAGCTTTGTAATATAATTTAAAGTCATGGAATGTAATACCTCCAGCTTTGTTTTTTTTCCCTCAGGATTGCTTTGAACAATTTGGTAGAGAACCAAATTATTCAAGATGGGAGATGTTCAAGAACTGAGGTTTGACTGTATTTGCATACACATGTTCATAATAGCATTACTTACAATAGTCAAAAGGTGGGATCAATCAAAGCCTCCATCAAAAGATGAATAAATAAACTAAATGTGATATATACATACAATGAAATACTGTTCAGCCTTATAAAGGAAGGAAATTCTGACACAAGTATGGATGAACCTTGAGGACATTATGCTAAATGAAATAAGCTAGACACAAAAGGAGAGATAGTTTATAATTATATTTAAGTGAGATACCTAGAGTACTTGAATTCATGAAGACAGACAGTAAAAAAATGAGAGGCCGAATGCTTCCAGGGCAATTGGAATTATGGGCCAGATGACTTAAAATAAAAAGAGGGCAGAGGCTGGCTCTCTGGCTCTCTTATTTCTTGAGGATGCCTGGATGATCATGCTGCAGCTGCCTGAGTTTTCCAATGAATAGTGTTTTGGATGGGAAGGAACTCCGGGCACACACTAGGATCCAGCTGGCCTGGCAGAGGATGGCAGGGTTATTCTTCTTTGGGTGTTCTATGGGAGATGAGCTCTAAAGTAGAAGCCTGTAATTCCTCCAATATGGTGTAGTTTTTGCGTCTTATGTTGCTTTTGTGAATTAACCCTATGGCAGTAAGATAATTAAAAACTAACAGGGGAAATGATAGGAGAACTCAGGTGTTAAAGTGTTTAGCCTTGATTGATAGGTTTAAGTGATTCAAACTGTAACTAAAGAGTTAGAGATTAGCCTTAATTGACAGGCTTAAGTGATTAAAGCTGTTAACTAAAAAGTTAGAGTTTAGCCTTAATTGATAGGATTAAGTGACTAATGCATTTGGAAAGCTGTTATTCTAAAAGAGTGTAGCTTTTGAATAAAGACTCCTTTCCTTTATTACCAAATCTTTGCCTCCAGAATTTTGCCTAGAGGGTTGGTGGCTGGTAGCAGGACCCCATTTGCTGTTAGCTAACATGACACTGAAATATATACTTACAATGGTAAATTTATGTTGTATATATTTTATACAACATAAGTAATAACTATTTTTTAAAAAATCACACACACAGAAACAAGGGATCTGAGCATAAGCTATAAACAAAGAAGTGACTACTAAAGAGAGGGATGTTCTATTTGCATGGGAAGACCCAACAATTACAAATTGTCAAAAATACTAGTCTTTAGCTGTACTAAGAAAGAGACGGTTGAGATATAATTGAAGGGGTGTAGGATTGAAGAGAGGATAGCAGATTCTGATGAGAACATCTTAACAGTGCACTGCCTAATACAGTATCCATTTGGCCATATGTGGTTATTAAGCACTTAAAATGTGGCTAGTCCTAATTCAGATACCTTGTAAGTATAAAATAAACACTACATTTCAAAGACTACACAAAAAGAATAAAATATCTTTGTAATAATGTTTCCTACTGATCAAATATTGAAATAATAATATTTTGGATATAGAGTTAAATATATTATTAAAATCTATCTCACATTTTTAAAAATCATTACAGGAATATTTTAAATTAGATATATAGCACATATTATTTCTATTAGATGGCGCTATCTTAGAAGAATTGCTGTTCTCTGGAAGAGATGTGCCTTGATTAGCACTAAAGCTATAAATTCTATATGATGAGGGGCTTAGTTGAGAAAACTTCCTGACCTGATTGGACCTGACTTCCCTATGTAGACTTAGGAGAAGCGGTGTCGTGAATGAAGAGTGCCAAGATAGAGCCATTTCTGTCAAGGGAACTAAAATGAAGCCAGGAGGATATAAAGGATTTTGCTGTTTGCAAGTCCCACTCATGAATGTTTGAACCTTTAGGCTAACCATGA